ATATTATCGGGCAAAGTCAATAAATCTTCCATTTTATTAACAATTCTTTTTAAAGCATGAAATTAGATCTTCTTAATACTTTGCCAATTAATTTATCTGATTCAAAATGTTAGCAAATTAAGTAGAATTATATGACACTGTCATATTTCTCAATTTTAACATAATTTATACTTTTTTAAGTTTTTTAGATATTTAGAACTAATTTAGTCATCAAAATTGAGGGAAGAATGTAAATAAAATCAATTTTATTACTTTGAACTTTAAGTTATAATTAAATATTTCTGGATTCCCATCGTTCTCAATATATTTCGATTTCAAATTTCCTGTAGGTTTAAGAATAAAGCTAACAACAACTGAAGTTATAAGCATAACTTTCAAATGTTACAATGCAAAAAAGAAATTTATCCGATACTGTAATCACTCAAACAGATATGGAAAAATGATAAATTGCAGTAAATGCTTCATTAAATAATAAAAGGATTGGAAAAGTTATACCGTAAGCAGCGTGAAAGTAATCAGACGAAAAATTCGATAATTGTTCGTTAATAACAACATTAGCAGACGTTGTTGATGAACAATATTCCTGAAATATTGGAAAAAAAAATAAATCTGTTTAAATATCAGAGAGGAATGGAAAGTAACAAGCCAAGTTGTTGAATGTTTGGCTGAAGAAGGAAACAAAGTACCACCTCTTCCTTCTCCATGGTGCTAATCATGATGGTGATGATAGGGAGCGATACAGCGACCATCATCCATCGACGACTCCGCCCCGCACCTGTGATCTTTAAGGTGGTACTGTCATCGTTAAGATGAAGAGGTGCCACTTATTGTTCCGCAGTTCCTGGACACACTATGATATCAATGTCAAGTGTTGAAACCAGATAGGGTAATTATTTGATGAGTGATTGACTTCATTTCAAGCATTCTTTTGATTATAAATGTTCTGAAAGTAATTTCTAATTTTCCAAATAAATCAACAAATTTTAGAAATCACAATAATAACGTAATTAATAATGATGAAGGACAAAAATGATAACGATAATAATAATAATAACAATAATAAATCATGAAAAACAATAATATATAACAATATTGATAGATTATTGGCAGCTTTAATAATAGCGATAATAATAATGATAATAACAGTGATAAAGGATAACGGTAACAGTAATTCTTAAGAAAATTTCGTTCAGATTCCTTTACAAAGTACATATCGTAACAATAAAGTGAGATTAAAATTTTATGGATAATATTTTAATAGCCTAAAATGTGACGTTAATTTTGTTTGCTATTATTACTAATTGGTTGAAACTCATTAATGCAATTCTGGCTAAATCCGTTATTGTATGTCATTTTCATTGACATATATGTTAATGTTCTTCTTTTCGAACATTCGTTTTATGATGAAAAACTATCTCAAAACTTATCCTAACAAACGTTCAGAAAAATAGCTGCCAAAAAAAAGATGTAAGTTGTTTAATCATGCAGTCAGCTATCAAAATTCAACAGTTATCGAAATGATTTTAAATGATAATTATTTTTGTTTATTCAGTCTTCATTTATAACATATCATATTTTTACATTTCTCCTTTCGCTCTTTATTACATTTCCAAAAAAAAAATATTTCCTTGAATATGTGTTTTTCATTACGAATATTTGTCTCGAAGTAAATAATTTATTATTTATTGCTCTTGTTTCGGTATCAATTGATAGCTTAATCAATCTCATCTTCTCTTTTTTTTCCATATATTTCATCAATTTTTATTTAAATATTTTGCGGAGAAAGTCTAAACATATGGCGGGTAAATATAAGCAACCATACGGTGTTGGGTCGAAGGTCGTATGTTGCAAAGGTCATGCCCAGCCAGATATGTTCTGTAATATTAACAATAGGCTACATACTTTCAAACAATAACTTTATGCGTGAAAGAGATGTATCAATGTAGTGATGATAGCTCGATTATAGCTAAAATTTGATTAATTAATAATGGATATTCTGTTTACACTGTGATTGACAATGTTTAATGTTGACGCTTTTGTAATTAGAAAAATATCCTCGTAAAAAAAAAGAGAGTAGCAAATTGAGCGATTTGATGATATTTCGTGAAGAAAACAGTCAGTTCTTCAGAAGGAAATATTCATGACCTGTTTGGATCGGTATTTCATTCTGTTGTACATATTGTATAAATTTGTTGGTTCAAAATTTATTCGATAATGTAGTTGCAATTCAAATGTATACAAAAGCAACAGCAATCCATTGAGTTACTAATTATTTAAAATTAAATTTCAAGGAATTTATTGATTTTCAAGATGTAAAAAATAAGCCATTTAATCGATGGGAGAAATCCGAAAAATATGGAATTTTTTTTCTCAAAAAATATAAGAATAAAATGAAAATTTTTTTCTCTTTAAAATGAACATATAAATTATTGGAATAAATTATTCCAATCAAACATGTTTATTTTATCACCACCAGGGTTTAAGGACCCAAAAAAAATTATGACTGATTTCAAAGATTTGATCGATTGATTAATGGAAATCAGTATTTGCTTCGTAACGGCATCAACATAGAATACATTGTAATAAATATTTTTATGATGATCAGAAAGCAATGGAATTAGAAAAAATTCCGGATACAAAGCAATGACAACGTTTATATAACCGTATTACCTACTGAACATTCTGGACTAAATGTCGTCATACATGTCCACTTTTATTATCTGCAACAGTGCAAGATTTAAGGAGTTCATTTATTTTGATAAGGAAAATTAAATTGCGCAAAAATTAGGAAAAGAAGAGAACTTCAAACTTAACGCTGATGATATAATAACAGGAAATGCAATATCCGAAATTGGCTAAACTTTTTGAAAGTTTAAACAACTATTAATATACTGATCAGATCTAAGCCATATCTCTCATCATATGATCAATACAATCGGCTATTATGCAACAATTAATTCATTGATTTATGATGTTGATGAAGGTAAACTGCATGATATAAATCTAATGCAAGTTGTATACCTATTCATTTGTCCGCAGCTGTCTCTCCATCAGCAACCACCATAATAGCATTAAAATGAGGACGATTAAAAGAGTAAACTAAATGAGGGACGGGGAGAGGATCGGATGATTGAACCGAGAAGGAATCGGCCATCTGCTTTGGATGCAATATAATTTAATGCAACAAATGTGTTATCTCAAGCTGCCGCATGTTTTACAAGTGATTTTGGGATTTGTTTGGTCAATTTATGATGCTTCCATCATTGGTCAACACTAAATTCTTTGATTGTTTTCAAAGATGATGATAGAAAATAGAAAGCGATACAGATGTTCGGGTCACGTTGGACCATCACGCATCATTTAAATCCTCTGCTCAGTCTCTATCTTCAGCTATTCGTATCAAAAAAGAAAAGATTAGTATGCCTAAATTTGGCATTCAACTCTGAGAAGGCCCATGTGATCCATCCAAGTAATAATAATCTCTCTCTAATAAAGTGGCAATTCTCGAATTTTTATAATCAGTTAATATCAACACTGAATATCCATCGGTATAAATCTTGAAATATCATACAGGGTAAGTTATTTCAGTTAAGTTGAAAACATTAACAAAGCATTATCACGTGGGTGTAATCTTCACGTAAATCAGACAAGCATATGTTGGACAAAATGATAGGGAAAAAGAGATTCGATAAACGTATGGAACAGCACTCATTTTAGCAGTTTAATTCCTTAAAATATCTTGTTAATTTCAATTCTTCAAAATGTATTCCAGTTCATATTACCTCAAGAAATTGAAAATTATTTGGATCCTTCCTCTTGCAAGCATAAAAAGGGAAGAGAAATAATTCCACTGATCATATCTGCCAGCATTACAAAGACGAATTTCGGATTACCGGGCTAGAAATACGTGAACTTGTTATGTAACTGCTCAGGATAGTTGAAATTTCCAGTTGAATAGAATAATTGGACCATTAATATCCAGCTAACCAGGAACATTACAGAGAGTGCATACGACATAAACTTTCACTTCATAACATGTCATACACACATATACGCACATACACACACATACACACATACACACACATACACACATACACACACATCACACATACACACACATACACACATGCACAAATACACACACATACACATACGCACAACTTGGGATTTAATGGACCGTAAGCATCCCGTGAAATTTAAATTCGTTTTAGGTGGACGGGGAACGGCGATAAATATTTTATATATTGTATGTTATTGCGTTGTATTAATCTTTTGTCGTTGATTGTTGGGAGGTTATCATCGATATTCATTACATTCTTCTTGCAGAAGTTAAAAAATGACTCAGTTGGTTTGAAAAATCGAGAACGAGATTCATGACCAATTCTGGGTAAATTAGGGAATAAAAAGTAATATTTTGAATAATTCGTGAATAAACGGTTAAGGAAGTAATAATAAAAATATTGCAGTAAGTCGATTTGAAAACATTACTTCCAAATTCATTTTCTGGTTAGAACGGGCAGATTTGAGTTCCTCGTAAATACGCTTTTCATTGCATATCAATCACTTCGTTAACCGTTTATGATTTTAAATTATCGCTTCATGTGTCATTGGTAATTGTCAATGGATTGAATATCTAATTAATTCCTTGTTTATCTTCCTTCGCCATTTGATATATACCGTCTGCTTATTACAGTGAAATCATGAAATCGGTGTAGTTTACTTTCTAGTACTTATTACTGCATATTAGTTTAATTAATTAACTGTTACTATGTGTTTAATCACATATTTATTTGCTCTGTGCACATATTTGTTGCGTGTTGTATATATTAACTTCGTTGTTCATACTTTTAGTCTAGTGGTAGGTGTTATGATTGATGTCTGCTTATTGCATTAAGATTTACAACGATTAATTAGTTATTTTTTATTTCCGTTTTCACTTATGCATTCCATACTTATCTTTTCAGTATTCATTTAACTTTTATAGCATTGAAATAGTCATGGATATATCAGATAGTATTGCGGAATGGCACGATATTGTTTCACCACTACATAAGAGCATGAATCGGAATAGTAACAAAAGAAAACTTTCGGGATCAATCGCTGTCCCAAATGAGGCGAAGATACTGAAGAAAATTGTCAAAGAGGTAGGTGTTAATTACTGCTTTATAACTTGATTGCTGGATAATCATCTAGCAGTTAGAAAGTTACAGAGCACCAAAACAGCTTTATTTTGTTTATGGTTTATATATTTTAATTTTGTTTATGGTTTATATAGATATCACGGTATCTTTGTTTCCTTAGCAAGAATTACAAAGTTCTAGAAAAAACAAACTTTACTTTCTATATTAGAAAAATTCTGTTTTAGCGATACAGAATGAAATTTTGCTCTAACTTCCAAACCGATTTTCCTTGCTTAATTTCTATAGGTAGAATCGTTACATATCATTGAAGAGTGAATAAAACCGATATTTCGTCAAATATGAGGGTTTTTTTTCAGTCAACATCGGATGCTAGTGATGATGTAGAAATAGCTCAGTCTTCCTCAGTGGATCTTCATTTTTCTCCCAGTGAAATCGCAAAAATCGTCCAGGTATACACTTGTTGTTGTTTGTTATGTACGAAATTTATTTTGAAGAATCCAGTTTCCCATCCATACATGAGTCAGTTAAACGTCATGATTTCTCAAGAATTATGAAATAGATTAAATAGATTCAGTCATATTTTGCTGAAATTGTAAATTTTTCATGTTTGTAATTTTGGTGATTAATTGGATCCTATCTTAGATTCAAATCAAATTCAAGAAATCATGAAATAATTCTTTATATACTCGAATATTAGAAATTTCCAGGAATTAAGAACAAAAATGCAACAAACAAAAAAAAACTTGTCGAAAAAGTTTCTCGGATTCAATGATTTTGGTGATATAGAAATGCCGCCAGGAGGAACAAAAGAGTAAATTTTTATTATCTTGATGTCTGTGTTTTAGTTATCTTTTCTGGAATTCATAGTTATGTTTTATGTTGGATTCTTTTTCTGGGAAAGGCGATTATTTAACGAAATAAAACTTTAAAACACGCTTAATTCGATTTATATTTATTCATCAACTATAACTTTCTTTGTTAGAAGTCGTTAGCTAATTTTAAATATAATATATTCTACTTGCAAATTGAAAATTCTAACGATATACGAAGTAACAGCATTTTTAAGAAAATTTAAAATTTTGATATTTCCTATGCAAACAATAACACTATGAAATCTTTAGGATGCTCAAGACTGACTTACGCAGATGTTTGAAAGAAGCGACAATATTATCAACGATGACTGTGTCAACTGCTCTTGAAGTAGATTTCTTATAAATTTGGTTTAATTTCTAGTAATTTCAACAATAATTCATTGTGTTTGTCAGTGGCAGTTATCGAATGTTTAAATTACCTTTGAGACGTTATTGTTTAGTTGTAATTCCTAATTGAATAGTATAAATTGAAGAAGGGTTTTTTTACGAATTTTCTGAAATTCGCCAAGAAGTTCCTTGTAGATAGAGAGATTTTTAGTTGAATGTGACGTGTGGAACCAAAAGCATTCTTTCTTCGAGAAATTTATGATATAAATTGAGATTGTTTGAGCTGTTGCATGCTTTCTTGGAAGAAGGTCATAGTGTCACAATGGATCCGACATTTCCTAAAAAGCCACCGAATGCCTTTTCAATATTTATGCGAAAAGCGGGACACAGTAGATTCTCATCGGTTAGTTTATTATTTTAATATCTGTTTTTGGTATTTTTTTCTAATATAACTCAAGCTTATGCGGTAACAACGACTGAACCCTTTAGTTGATAAGCGTTTATGCTATTGTTTGGTTTAGGAGAGGAGCGAAAATATCATTTAGAGTATTGCAAAATCAAACTCAATTTCGAAAAGAGAAGTGATGAACTTCTCTTTTCGAAATTGAGTTCGATTTTGTGATAAACTTGTTACAAATAGTTCAGGTTGTGACCTTATCCTAGCATGTCTCAGCATAAAACGCGATAACTAAATAAAAAAAAAAAATTGTTTCCATCAAATTGAGGCGTGAAATCTAAAAAATATAGTCTTCAAGGTTTGTGGTTTTGTTGAGTAGATTATTAAAGGGCCTCAGGTCTCTTTTTAAAAAGCTTTTTAAGATAAGTATTTTCAGAATGTAAGTGCATTCTGGAATAATGAATCGAATGCAGCCGATAAAGAAGAAGCAAAGAAGGAAGCTCTAAAGTTAATGGAAAAATATTTATCAAATTTACATGTGTACAGGTGAGTTTTTGTGAATTAGTCAGGTAAATTATAAAAATCATTTATAATCTCATCAGCTCTATCACTGACGGCTTACCATATTTTCTTTTCAGAGAGGCACACCAAGAATTAACGCTAGCACATCGAAATTATGTAGACAATGCAATTTCGATTGCACAGAAAGCCGTAAGTTGTTATTGTTCTTGAACAAAATTATTATTTAAATCAGTTTTATTCAGGTTAATTCTTTGATTTTAACTTTTTATCTAAATTACCTTTTAATTTTTTTATTTATGAAGTAAATTGTTTGATGTATTTGGTGATCAAGGATTTTTTGAATCAATGTCATTTAACAGTGAAATAGTACAGTGGTAAAGTAATTAGTGAAAGTTTAGATCAGTAAATCAAAGGGGATGAAAACAAATAACAGCAGCAGGAAATCTGTTAAGAAGAAAGAACCGAAAACTGCCTTCGATCTTTTTGCAATTAGTATGGCCAATAAGTAAGTTATTCCGTGATTTAATCATATTGAGATTAAATTTTACATTCGAGAGTATTTTATAGCAAATGATCAATGATAACGATAATAAGCAGAATTGAAGTTTCGAAATTTCTTCTAAAGCTGCTTGTTATAGTCTCATTTTCTATCAGAAAGCATGTTTGGCTGATTCATTTCTGTTTAATAGGAATAACTTCAATGCTTTATGTTCAGTTCTTTCTTCTTTATTTGCATGTGATTGTTTTCGGAATTTAACTTCTTTTTAGATATATTGATTTGGAACCAGAAAAACGAGAAAAGAGACTGCGAAAGAAATTTGATAAACTGAGCGAAGGCGAGCGAGAAATTTATGACAATTTGGCGGCAGCACTTTAGATTCATGTAAGACCTCTTTGAGTAAGATTTCTTGTTTTGTTTTGTTAAATGAGAATAAAAGAACTTCGTTTTATAAGGATAATAATGTACATAATGGACAGAAGAGCGAAGTTGCAAATTGCGTTCCGTTTGAATACATCTTATTAAACTTTACAGTACTTAAAATGGAAAGTCGTGGTTGGATTTTGCCAGTTCTTCCATCCTACACATTACATAAGACGTTGTGCATTTCAAAGCATAAAGTGTTGTATATGGAGTCGTTTTAAGTTGTAATCTTTATCTTCACTTTCTCTTGTAATGAATATGTCAAATACCAGACGGAAACTCAAACTGGTTCAAGTTTAGAATGAAAATAGTTCTGGGGAACAAAACTTTCGCGCAGACTTATTTTAAATATCTATATTTGGCTTGAAAGCTCATTCAGTATTTTCTGAGATAAATTAAACTGAGTAACGGGAGACAAAGTTTAAGTTTCATTCCAAGTCCAGTGTAGTTTTCATGAAAGAGGGAGCTTTTCCACATTTTTAACGACAATTCTCGTTTTTTCTAACAGTTAGTTCTGCAAAGCGTTAAATTTTGCTTCTCGAATTTGAGTGAAATTTTAGTATTTGATTCAAAAAATGTTTCCTTCGATGCTTTTTATTACGAAATAACGGTAACTTTTGTATCCCATAAATTTATTATTTATGTGCTCCATTTGTTAATTTTCCATGTCTAATGCTGTTTCATAAAAGTGCAAGCCTTTTCAGGGCATTTTGCAATTCTCATGTTTTCATAACCACAGTTCTCATATTTTAATACGCAAAATCAGACAAACATAATTTTAGTTTACCTTCTGACAGATTCAAATTGGTTTGAATGATTTCATGAAGTATATCCATTTTTTTCCTCTTATTTCACTCTAGTGAAATAAATGGCAAAGGAACACTCATGATGGTCATTTTGTCTTCGCATTTTGCTAACTTTTAGATTTCCATCCAAAATTTGAGAGCATATGACTAGTAATCCTGAGGAGATGATTGTGTAATTTTCAAATGATCCAGGAAATATAACAGTGATATATCAATCAGTTGAGCATCTATCAAAATGCTCTGGTTACCGGACTGAAAACAACGACCTTGGTTTCAGTAATTGTCTATTTTAATGGATACCAAAGGTGACGAATTGCAGTGCGACTGTATGAATATGCTTGCGAAAATGGGAATTAGGTCAGTCTGCAAGAGGGACATGAAAGAAATACCGATATTGGGGCGTGTGAAGTTGTGCACTGAGTAGACACTTTATTTCATTATTTTTTAGTGAAGACGACGTGGAAAGCAAACGTGATCATTGGATGAACATTTGATTATATTTCTTATCAGTTTGATAAATGCTATATATCTTCAAAACCTTTGAACAAGAAGTAAGCGGTGGAGAAACGGATGTAATGTTAAAAACCAAATCGGTTATTATCATCACTTCATGATATCTTTACCTTCCTTCTGATCCTTCACTTATCTCCTCCATCCTCCGCAGATTTCGGATGTTGATATGGAGCATCATTTTATCTGTCGAAACAGATCTTCAATTCTATTTCTATTTCCAAATGTTCCAACTAGTATTTAATGCCTTTAGACAAAATTACCTAAAATGCTTTTCATGTCATTTTCTAGTTTTTTGAGGCAAATTTTTTTATAAAAACTATATTTCAATATTCTTTAACATTCCAGATTTATTGAATTTTCAATCGAAAATTAAATTCATTTTCATCATAATACATATGCAATTGTAAATCCATTCAGGCAAAAACTCAATGATTCAAGCAGGAAAAGGAAAACTTTTTAAATCAATGTTTTGGTTTTATATAAATTAGATTTCTTATGACACGAATACATTGTCTTGCTCGTTATCTTCAATCACTTTTTTTTATCTGTTCAGTCTTCAGTCCCTATTTTCAATTTCTTCAATCGCTCTAGCAATGTTTCCAATTAATTATTTTTGTTGAAATTTCCATGTTAGAATTGGTGAAATTTTTGTATTCTTCAGTTAATTCATTTATTCACTTCTTGTGATCATGACTCTATTAATTACTTATTTCTCACACATTTGCCATGAATATTATAACAAAATTCTTGTTCCAGTTTTTTTCTCAACCTTCATCAGATAATCTATTTTGGCAAGATTAAATAGGGAAGTATTGATAACTAGTTGTTCTGTCAACATCAATTCAAAAATAGCAAACGGATTTTAACAAGTTTGCTTTATTTTTTTCTTTTCTTTTCAACATTTTTCTGCTTTGTTGCACTTTTTTCTCCATTAAAAATTTCTCCATTAAAAATTATCCTGGAATTTCAACCAGTTATGAATTTTTGTGTTATAAATCAATGTTAAGTGAAATTTTTCCAAATATAGCTACATTTTTTGCTTTCCTGCACTTTTTATAACAAGTTTAGCAAACTTTAAATTACATTTCGGGATAGAAATCGGTGTAGAAAGAGTTTCCTCAACTTTTTTTGCAAGTTTTAAATTTTCAAAAATAAAAAAAAGGTTAAAACTAATAACGCTTTATTTTTAACGCAACGAAATGAAGGCAGCGAATTAAAATTATAATCAAGCAGGAAATATCAGAAACGTTTTAAGAATGATAAGGCACAAATTACTTCTTTTATTTTTAAAAGTTGGATGAATTTTTCTTACAATTTTTAAAACTTTCACTTTCTTCTATTATGGAGAAAGGAGCATTAATTTGTTTGAAATTAGATTTTGTAATAAAAAATTAATTTGCCAAATAAAACGACAGAAGTAGCAGACAAAAATTTTTACCAAATAACGAAAAAAATTCCTTTTTTCCCTTTAATTTTTTTGCACAAAATTATTCACTTCACTTTTTTCTTTCACAAAATCATTTCTGCCAATAGGTTACATGAAGACTTCAATCTTGAGAAGGACGAAAACAACATTGCTAATGGCATATCTTTTTTTTTCTTTTGTAACTTCTTTAGGAATTAATTTTGATAATTGAATGTAGGAAACAAGTTATGCACAAAAATTACTGAAATAAGAAATGCAAATTTGTGAATTAAAATTTGTTGGTTGACAGAAAATCAAGTGATGAATTTACTACACGATTAAATGAAGTGAATGTTAATGACAAACAGCTCTTGCACTTTTAATTTTAATGATAAGGAATAACAGCAAAAGTCTGAACCATCAAATTGCTTATGTGTACATCACAAATTCATTTTTAATCGAGATGTTTTGCGATACTATTCATGATTTTATTGTTCTTGGAATCTCAACGAAAAAGAATTATAGAAGGTTTAATTTTTTTCTACAATTTTTTCATTTTTTAATTACAAAAAGCCAAGAAAAGATACTATCACAATTTATAGCTCTATGAATCAGAAAAAAGAAAACAGTGAATCAACCCTATGGCAGATGGAAATTTGAGGAATACAGAATGTGTTTTCTAAAAGTAATACATGAATTTTTTTATCTATATCAATTTTATTACGATAATTTTAAAACTACACAATACATCATTAGCTTTTTCTCTAGTCTTTGTCGCTGATTTGACATAAACTTACAGAGAGGAGAGAGGAAAGAAGAAAAGAAATTTATCAGCAGTTTCTTTGTTCTTGCTTCTTAGCACCGCATTGCATTTGCAATAAATTGAAACAAATTGTATTCTTCTAAATGAAATATATAAGGCGAGCATTAATCAATTCAGTATTTTAAATGTGATGCCGTGAAGTGAAAATATAGTCATATATCATTTGTATGTTTGCATACAAATGTTGCATGCATGCGCATGTTACTTTCAAACCATCACCTCATGTGTTAGTACTTTTTGCTTGCAAGTACCGATTGATAGACATACTTTTTATCAGTGCTTTCATCATTTCAACTTTATCGAAATTCCATTTCCATCTTTTTTCTTTCAGCAAAAGAAAATCAAACATTTGATGCAGTTCCTTTCTTTTGATCATGAAAATGAGAGAGGGAGAAAAAAAGATACGGGGAAACTATTTCCAGCATCCATTCATCGAACATTCAAAGATTTGGTTTGTAGACATTGAATTACGGCTAATTTTCGGAGAATCAATCATATACAAATTGTTGTATATATGTTGTTCCATTATTTAACATCCAAAACCATTTTATAATTTCACTATTGGTTCCCTTTTCTCTTTTACAATTGTTTCTAGCTGCTAATTATTTTGCTTGCAGAAAGTTTTTTTTTAAAATTTTCTATGCATATCTGAATTTACT